CATGCTTTGCAGTCCGTAGTGTTCATACACCCCATCAAGAACCAGCTCCTCTCTTTTGAATGTCTACCATGAGTTGGAGAAGCCTCACCTATCGACCGCTTCAGACAGGGTATTTGAGAAAAATGTCTTTTCCAATCGCCCCTTTGCGCTTTTCTGTTAGTAACTCTCTGCACTGTACCGCAACATTTACTTCTATATATGTGCCAAATTTGATCACCTAGGCTAGCAACCAGATATCATGTGAAAGTTACTTCCGTCCCTAAGTTTTGCACACCAGTGTAGATTGAGAAACCGGTTCCGTAATTTTCTGGTTGTAGAAAGTTTCAAAGTAGTGGCAAAAAACCTCAGCCTTCTCAATGCCCGACAAATGCAAGCCGTATTGTCTTTTCGTTGAATTCTACTACCTTTTTCTTAGACTGCTGTAGGACTGCTCTGCGTGTTATTTTGGCGAAGCATACATGCCTGTCTCTTCTTTTATTCGATTGAAACTAATTTGTCCACAAAAGACATAGAAATCGTGAGTGTGACATTTTCTGGTGGCAGTAGGTGTGATTTTAACAAAAGTCGAGAAAATATCACACATTACTTATTTTATAATTTATTTAAGTACCTGTAGCATTCAGTAGGTCCTGCTTTCAACATTTAGCCACCCCTCAACAGAGTAGTCGAAGATACTGCTCATACAGTAAATGTTAAGTTGTGAGTTCAGGAGAACATCAATGTTGAGACACTGGATAATCAGTACCAGTGGGTTAAGGAAATCACACAAGAATCACATGTGAAGCGATACGGTAATATGAGTATAGCCCAAGAACCTGTAGGTTGGTTTCAAGGCTCCAAAAACGCCAACCTGAGGTTGAAAGGGAACGCCAAGAAGGTGAGAACTTTGGACTTTCTATTTTTATTTGCTTACCTTAGTTTGCCGTATTCGCCAGTAACACAGGCAACCAAGAAAACAAAGAAGGCAGTATTCTTAATGATTCTTGCTTGAAATTGAGTGCCAGTATCCAAACGACAAATTGGCAACGAGTTCCAGACTCAACACAAGAAGGTGTCGTGGCCATCAAGGGACGCCGAACTCATGCAGTTGCAAATGGAGAAATTCCGCAGGCCTCAATCAACTGCCGTCGACGCTGAGATCAGCCGGATTTTGAAGGTGATTTCTATTAAAGTAGTCAGCGAGATTAGCTCGGATATGACTTTCAGTCCAATCCTTCACGACTAGAGACTAGGTGAAGCTTGATAGCTTGGAGGAATCTCCGAGCTGCCTTTTTTCACCCTCCAACTTCCTGGAAGTAAGTGCAACGTAGCCCATTGCGCCCTCTGGGCCGTATGCTGAATGTTGAGGAGGGATGGGGTCCCCGACGGTCGACGGACTACTCCAACTCGGTACTTAAAACCGCCTCAATTTGATGCTCACCTCAGGACTAAGCCTGAAGACCTGCGAGAGAGCGCAAGTCCGTCCTTTCTCTCCAAGGCTTAGTCCTGGGGTAAGCAACCAGCCCTTTTGGCGGAGCTGCTGGACAGTTGTACCACTTGTGTCATTAGCTCTCCGCTAGCGTAACCGTCTGAGTTCAAGTGCCGTCGACCTCGGCGAAACCCATCCTCCCAACTATTCGTCAATACGCCCCAGCAGAAACGCCAAATGGGCTGGTTTGCTCACCTCTCCAACTCTCATCTGCATTTTCTGCCAGACCTTTGGATCGGCTCATGTCTAGACGTTTCAAACAACTCTGTTCCCTTTTTCAACAACGACATGAATGGTTATGTAATGGGCAGTCTCACTTTTGACTTTAGTGTGGACCGCAGTTTGAACAACGTAAGCGGGTTCCCCAAATCTGCTCTTGAAGCGATGCGAGAAGCTAGAACCAGGACGCTCAGCTACTCTTACAACGCAAAATTGACTCATGCAAAATAATGTCATCCCCAGTGAATAAGATTGCACAAATCCTGGCAGGTGCTTTCATGCAAACGCTGCTTCTATGAGTAGTTTGTGAAACGTGTCTGTCTAGTGCTAGTGATTCTGTTCACTGTCAATTGTTGTTTGGGACAAGGAGGGTAAAAAAGTGGCTAACACTGAAGGAGGGAATACCGAAACTGGAAATATTTTTTCGTGTCTACACCGACCAGATTGCTTAGTTTCAAACAAAGCTGGTCTACCCTACTGAAAGACATTGTGATTCAGGATCGAGACGACATTGAAGCAGTTTTCCAAAACTTGATCAACACCCTTGTCAGCGATGAAAGGGAAAGGTTAGCCATTGGTATAGTGGTATCATTCACTATTTCAGAAAGTGGTACGGAATTGTACTGTTTCAGTACGTCCTTTATTCGAGAAGAAGGGCTATGTTGAAAATCTCGACTGCCATCACGACGTCGTGGAAGCGTTCGATACGATTTGCATTGACATTAACAAGGTGATCACCTATATTATAAAGCACTTGACTTTGAATTCACGGGTCGCGATCGAAATGGTGTGATATTTTGTTAAAATTAGAGTTCAAGGAGGAATATAAGTGAGAGTGTGTGAGGAAATGATTATCCAAATTAAGGGTCTTAGTTTACTCGATTTTGACAGGTATGGCCCCGCCTATGAGAAAACTACGACGCTCAGGGGGCATCGGTGTCCCACATGGACGCGGTCATATTGGTGAAGAATAGAAAGCATCCCGGTGGGTCCGGTTGAGGCAGGAGGTCAGCACCACCCTGAATCAACCGTGACAAATTTCATCCACTTCTCTTTTTCGAAAAGTTGGTATGCGAGTGTTCTCATTTGAACAAGAATCACTACACTGGTCGCAACTGTACTCAAAGTTGATAAGGCCGTGGATGCGCTTGTTCCAGATCGATGCGAGAAAGCGCCCACTCCCCGCTTAAAGCATCCCGCTGACGCCCATTGGTGTGACCTTGCCTAGAACGAATGTTATTGGTGCGTAAAGTGTGTTCAGACTGTAAATGATAGTATAGGAAAAAAATCCATCAAAAACGCTTCAGGATTAAGGGCTCTCTCACTTTCCTGATCGGCTGTGCTAAGGGAATGAGAGACTAAGCGCGAGAGGAGAGTATGAGGCGAGAGAGCGTTACAGATGAGAGAGCGCCAGACAACAGCCTGATAAGAGAGAAAGTTTGCAGCTTCAGCAGCTTGATTTACCAGGCCCGCGCGCTCTTGTTGGTTGGTTTCCGCGCACGGAACGCCACATTTGTGATTGTCCTCGGGTATTGTGCCCTATGAACAAAGGGAATCGCTCATACGAACCGTGGGCCTGGGGGTTGTTGCCTTTAAGCTTTGTCAGTGTGGAAGGGAAGCCGACCTATTTTAAAAGGACGAATTCACGCTGGAAAGGCAACCCATTTCAAATTAAGTTAGCGATGGTGAGTGGTACACTAAAGAAGGAAAAACCATGAGAAACGGCCCAGAACCCGAGAAATGGGACCCCTTCCTTGCCCGTTGATTTGAGCATTGATGCGACTATCATCGCTGTGCCCTCTTCAACGCTACGCTCTCTCACCTATCTAATCACTCACCACGTATAGACCTGCGCGAGTGATCAGATGATCGGTGGGCGTGCACTGACCAGCCGCGGCGGGATTAAACCTTAATAGGTCAACGAGGTCAACTCCTCCTGTGCAAATTGTGCTTCAGTTCGCACACTTAGGAGCTCCGCGGGTCCCTCAACCAGGTGAATTCTTCCTAATTCGATTTTCCCTCTGATCGTGAATTCGTCCTTTAAGGTTCATAGTAGAAAAATACTGCTGCCAAAGACGCTCCTGATTGTGAAGGTCCAGTACTGAAGCCGAAGACAAGATCTAAAGCAGCTGAGGAGCTTGTATTTTGGTGCTTAACTTGCAGTTGCTGATTTTGTATTTTTGAAAGCAACAAGGAAAATGCACTATAATAAAACACTCAAATTCTTCTTAGTGTAGTAGGGTAATGCGTCCGTGTGAAGTAGCGACTGCGAAGAGTGGAAAAAAGGCAACGTCGTACAAGAGGCGCAGACACCACGTGTGCTGCACCGTAATGGGCGTAGCAGTCTGAGCATTAGCCCCCATTTGTTGCCACTTTCAATCGCAACACTACCACCATCCTGCTGGCTGTAAGAGACCTGCTTACATAGTTCAGGATAAAATTCCTGCTGAAAAACCTAATCGTCGGTTCTGTGACTTATAGGCAGGGTCAATCCCTACGTTGTTACTAGTAACAACGGGGGGGTCGTACCTGGTTGAGTTTATAGGAGGGGGGTCGTATCCGCTTCAGTCGCGTGAAAGTACATGTGAGTTTGTGGTGAAAGTGGAGTTTTCACGAGTAGTAGGCTAGGTGAGTTGGGAGCGCATGGGAGAAAAATTCGCCGTTTCAGCGCGCGTATATACCCCCCCGCTCGACGGCATTTTTGGAGGAAAAAGTGGGCGGAGTTTGGTGGGTTGAGTGGTACCAGAATTAAATACTATAGAGAGGAATATGGTGGTCGAGGTGTCGAAAAGGGGGTCGTACCAAGTCCACCTTGGGGGAGGGGGGTCGTAAAAATTTTTGAAAAAGTAACAACGATAGGACTGACCCTGCTTAGTAGGCATCTTGTCAGAAACTAACACGTAGAAAAAAGACGAGAATGAAGTATGAAGCCCTCCTTTTAATCCCATCTGAACATTTTTGAAGGCTCTTACATAAGAGCTAGCCTCGTTCTCACCAAGCGCGGGCTTCCAGGCTGATACACGGCTTTGTTTGCTATTCCTGAACGTGCTCACTGTCCCTGTATGTTTCTGCAATCGACAGATTGTTGCCAACGCATAACTTTTAAATGTCTTGAAATACGCGATATTTTTCATTTACTTGTTGCTGTTTTATTTGGTGGTTGGATAGTTTCGATGCACTGCAAGTACAGGTCGCGTTGTCTGTCCGTACGACTCACGCCCTCAAATACGTGTATCTTCTGAATTAGACCTGTGTAACTTAAGTTCAACGACTCAGCGAAAATCATCAAGGCAATGCAGACGACCTGTTCAAAGACAAGCTCTCGCTTCCTCTGAAGCTTTGTCGCTTGTTGGCTATGATCGCAATCATGGAATAAAAATGATGAAACTTGTATGGCAAATCACTACAGTTCGATATGAAGTACTTTGAAACGATCTGTCGTTTTTCAACACCTTTGAGCTTTATCATATGACCAGTTTTGCTTACCCCTACCGAAGTATACCGTGACACGGTCTCGTAAACAATATAAGCCAGTGGCGCATTAGGTTGGCTTTGCGCTCCATAGTTACCATTTTTGCAAAAAGTTACTCGTCTCATAGCGTGTTGAATGTATAGCTACAGTCGAAATCTCGAAGTCAGATTAGGCGTGGCTATGGATTTGACGTGGCCTTTGCCGCACTTGATAAAAGCCGTGAGGATAGGCTGTTTCTAACGTACTCCATTGGATATCAGCAGAGCATGCTTATCCGCGCAACTTCCATCAAATGCGGCGGCCGCCACGTCAAACTCATAGAGTAGGTTCGTGAAACTCGTCCAATTCGCCTCTTCTCTATCCCAAGGTGGAATGTGGCTGAAATAGGGGAGGTCTCTGTACGGGGCGTAATCGGTGGTTTCGTTTGCTTTCCTTCTCTTTTACAGACCACCTCCCACCTATAGCTTCATAACTGAACGCTTTTCCACACCTATTTTATCCCGAATCTTGCCTTTAAGCAGCAAGTGTTCTTTTGGCTCAGGCGATCTTCTTGACTGGCTCTCGCTGGCTGGATCGCAGTATGAATGGTAAGCGACTTGTTTAATCAGTCTCCATCCTCAGCGATTAAATTCGACAGAATGATTTTTATTTCTCTTCAACTTTATACTACCCAGATGTCGGCATTTTGGAGTAACAGGTGTTTTTGAGTGTAAAGTGCACATCTTCTTTAGTGTGATACAAAAACTGAGCTTATGACGATGTGAGCTGGCATCCGACGTCATTTATAAAACGATTAGATGTTCTTTGTGACCCTTTCACTCTTCCCAGGAACCCTTATCTCATGCATTCCTTTGTATGGATTATGTGAAACACTCCTTTTATAGACCTCCTCTATACTGTGACATCAGAGACAAACTACACATTTCGTTTGGCTTTGACTTCAACTTACTGATCTGCCATCCAATTTGGTCCCACCCAAGTTTGATCTGAAATCGATCTTGATTGCTGTAAACTTTTAGAATATCTGAACTTTCTCAGGTGGAAATGTTGATTAGGGTTACGCTATTGGCCGTGTTGGCATCTTTTCGGCGCTTCCAGGTATGTTTCTCGACATTATAAGCTGATTGAAAAATTACCCGCGTAAAATTTTAGTATCTCAAGAGCTGTTTTCAGAGGAGGTGATCCACCAAAAGGAGAGCTCTACGCCCTTGCTTGTGGCCGGCTCTTATGGATGGTGAATTATCGCCACCAGGTAACAATTGTTTATTCGTTTACGCTATTTATAAGGGTCACTGAAATTGAGAAAGTTCATACTTTTTTCTCCAATCAAGTTTCGCTTGAACAATAATAGAGCGAATCGAGTAAATTGCTCAAACTGTGCGAATTGCCTGCATTTTACAGTCATGGAAACTAACAGAAGGAGGTCTTTCAAAGAAGGTGCGCTTTTTGCAAACGGTAATAGTAGCAGTTTGTAAAAGACGTCAATCGTGATGACCACGAAAACGCATTTTCGTTTTCGCTGGACGTTTTAGTATAAATCCCTTGAATGGCCTCCGCTCCCTCGCGGCGACTAAATTTTGCAATCAAGGTTGGCGGCCACTTGTTGGCTTCAAAATGGTCCTGACGATGAATTTGACATCTGATTTTGATATTTAGCGCGATTTGGCACCAAACCGTAGGCGCCAACCCAAATGCAAAATTTAGTCGCCACGGGGGATCGAACCCTTAACAGTACCTTATGCTTTTTTTGGTACTGCTATAACCGTTCAGCGAAAATGAAACATGGTTTTGCGTTCCCTACATGCGTCCCTACAATATGCACAAAACCGTTTTGAAAAAGCGCACCTTGCCCTGAAAGACCTCCCTTGTAAGACTTCCCGCAACAGCACAACTCCGTTCAC